ACAGTGATACCACAATGGGCATCACATTGTGTAACTTTGTGATTATTTGGTACTGGCCGGAATAATGTTCACCGGAGATCGGAGGTCGGAGGTAGGAGAGAGGAGTTTTTAAAAATACCTAAAATGCCCTCTAATTATAAATTTAACTTAAATTACCAAAATTATTAATTTCCTAATTTATCCGTTGATATGTGGTTGAGATTGGTTCTCACAGTTACCACAAACTAATCAGTTCTCCCTTGAATGGGCCCCTATATATATATATATATATATATATATATATATATATAATAAAGGGAATTATTTATAAAAAATATGTACCTCATGGCCTTTGTTGGCATAATCCGTTTTGATTGGTGAATTAAATTTCTTTCCAAATTTAGAAATGGGGTTGAATCTTAAAATGTCATCTTTTCTTGTTCTTCTGATTGGAATTGTTCCCGGGGTACATGATTCCCCTTTTGAACTCCATATCTGCTTCAATTCCGATTTCATTCCCGCTCTACCATGCCCATTTGACGGCTCTCGTGGTCTATTCTGTTTAAAATAATATTTATTTATTCAACAAATATCAATATTTTCCGGTCATAATTATGTAACTGTTACATGAATTTTCATATACATACACAAATTATATGTATATATTCACATATGAATATAAAAATGCATAAAACCTACCAATGGCACTGTACTATTTAACTCGGGAAGATCAAAAGCGGGTTGAGAATGAAATAAAACACAATCTATTATATCACCATCTGGGCTCTGTTTCAACAACAAAAAAGATTCAATTAATTCAAACAATTAAAATAAAAACGTAAATAAAACAATTTTGTATACTGATACTTACCTTAATCGATTTGACAAAAGGCTTGTTGATCTTCTTGAGATGAGCATTAACCAACTTCATCTCCTCCGATTCATCATTTGGTGGAATAATTTCGTCATCTTGACGGATCGGAAAAACCGGTGAAAGCAACAAGAAAAACGAGACAAAAATCAAAAAGATTGGACGGATAAAATGACGAGAAGTAAACTTCATCGTTGTACGTCTTTGTGTCGAGTTTTCCTCTATTTTCGGATTTATATGTTTCTGAAATATAATCCAAATGTTAGATTAAATAAAATGCAGGCGTAATTAATAATTTTTTCCTTCTACAAAAGTCAAAGATTTAGTTTTTATTATCAAATATTAATTTTTTATGAATATTTGGAATAAAATAAAAAACAAGTATACAGGGAAATTCTATGAAAATTATTTTTTTAATAATGAATAGCTGCATTTATTATTATTTTATATTTAAAAGGTAATAAGTTTTATATTTTATTCAATTAAATTAATTTTGTAGATCGACGGAATATTAATAATGATGGTCAATCCATTTATCGTTACTTAATTTAATATAATGCCATATTTGTATTATACTTAAATTCTAGTTATGTGGCATAACATAATTTCCAATTATCGTATATATTAATATCTATTAGAAAGGTACTTGTGTAATGTAGCGAGATACATCTCGATTTTAATGTTCTATTTTATTTTTTGTCTCTGTCGATGTTATAATACGGTTTTATGTGTTTTAAAAAAACAATAATGATTTTATTTTTGAATAAAATATAAATTTGAAAATATCATAAAATTTTGAGGAAAAAAATATCAATGTTAGAACTCAATGATTATTCTAATTATATTTATGATTTTTTATATTTAAAATGAGATGTTTATCTTGTATTTGATTATTTTTATCTACAGTTAATTACACGAATTCAGATATAAAGCTTTAATAAGTTGTACTTACGCACAATCTACTTGTAATCTTGAGTTTTAAGTAACGTGTATTAATAAACAGTACTTTATGCATAAAAAATGGTTTTTAAGAGTTTTCGTCAAATGCTTTATAATATTGTATAGATATATTTGGGTAAAAAATTGATTACTGACAACGAGTTGAGTTCACGTGAGATAAGACTGTTTTCGTGAGACACGATTTTAACACTTGAAACTTAGAAAATATTTTTTTTTAAATTAAATTAAATTCTATTTATTTTAATTTTCTTTTTCGAAGTAAGTTTTATTTTATTTTTAAAATATAAAAAAAATCATTCAGATCATTCAAAAGAAAATAAATTACTCAAAAAAAAATTACATGCCTTCATACCCTTTGACTTATTCATAATTTGACAATAATAACCTTTAAACTTGTTGTTTTTACAAATGTATATTAAGTTAAGATTTAAGTTAGGGACCGTTTACTAAGTTTGCTTGATAAGTGCTTATCGGATAAATTTCTTCATCGGATGAACATGGCAAGGGTCAAGAATCTTACTGGGTAAGAGCGATGAAAAAGATATAGAGTTTTACCCGGTAAGTGAAGATAACGACTTTTACCCAGGTAAGTACTTACCGCGTAAGCATTTGGGTAAACAACTCCTTAGTTTATGGATTAGACTGGTTTTTATGGTTTTCAATCTTTTAATGGTTCTCATTTGATTTAACTCCTATATATAAAACTAAATATCGTGAGAATATATGTATAGACGGTAAATGGTAGGTTTATATGTGAATCAATTAAAGAAAAAAAATCTGAAAAATATATATCTGATGATGCATATGTGAATCAACGTTGTAGATTATTATAGATTTTTTCAATGATTCACATTAAACCTTCATTTAACCATCTTTAACTTCTCACGATATTTAGTATTCTTACTTGAAATTTTAAAAACCTTGAAAGACAACACCAAATCTAACGAATCACACAAACGACAGTCTTAATCCATAATAAATGTCGTTTAGGGACCACTTGTATAAAAATATCAAACCACAGGGACAAAATCCGTAATTAATTCCTTTATGTATCAACTATCTTCTCAATATATATTCAATAAAATTATCCTTGCGTGCATTTGTCGATTAGATTATTAAAAGGGGTGGCTATTTTGTGGCTGTTACATATAAGAAATTAAGTCCTCAGGTACATGTTGGTTCATTTCCAGACCCTCCGAAGTATATATAATGACCCCAGTTATCTGCAAATCCAGTTGTAATATCATAACAGCTTCGTTTTTCTGCCAATAAGCTAAATTTTGACAAAGGATTTGTCTTATGTTTCCTATCGATCACTTCCAGGTTCCTAATATATGCTGCTTTCCCGAATCCTTCATTCGAGAAGTGGCCGCTTCCCATTTCTGCCGATGTGTGTGGACCTAGTAGACCATTATACACCTCTCCTCCAAACTCAACTAGCGTTGCCTTTTCTTGAAGGTTTGGAAACAAAGTTGCCGGCCAGTACCCCACTAAACTAGATCCCACCTTCAACCACCAATTCCCAGACTTCGGTTCCTGCAAAAATTAACAACACGTTGAAATATGGGTCATGTAGCGGATTTGGAATATTAAAAATCTACCTTCCAGATTAATAAACTGATGTCGAACTGTTGACCATTATATGTTGATATTGGATATATAGCAGCTCCAAGTGCGATCTTACTACTTGTTTGGACGAACCCCGAGCACAACAAATTGTAGCATCCACTTCGAGACCCATCCTTCTGCAATTTTTAGTTTTAAACATTTAGTTTTAATATATATATATATATATATATGTGTGTGTGTGTGTGTGTGTGTGTGTATGTGTGTATAAATAAATTAGAACTTACAGTCCAATAAATAAAAAGTCGAGGAGAATTGTCTTTACCTAACTTTGGACTAACCTGCCAAAACGACAATATTATAAACTATTAATAAGCTTAAACTGTATACACTGCTAATTCATATATAAATGGGTTTTTTAGAATAACTAATGTATTAAGATGAAGAATAATTAAATTAATATTAGAAAAAATCCATTCACTTAATTCAATAATTTATTCCAAATCCACATTAAACTAAATTCAAAACAAAAATAAGAAGGTGAGGATACCTGCCAACCGGCTGTAATAGTGTTTAGAATATCAGTTGGAACATCACTACTGATCGAAATATGTGAAAGACTAAATTCACTTGGATTCGAAACATTTGGAGCCCAGACATTTAATGTTGCTTTTGCTCCATAGAATTCGCCGAATCCATACCCAATCGCATGCTGCGCGCACACACACACATACATATATATATATATATATATATATATATATATACATATATATATATATTATAGTATTAGAATGCTGTTCTAAAAGGAATTGCCAAATAGAAGTTATGTACCTCATGACCATTGTAGATATTATTAGTCTTGATACTTGCACTATTGCTCTTTCCAAAATAAGAAACGGGAACGGATCTAAAAATTTCATATTCCCTAGTTCTTCTTATCGGGATTGTTCCATCTGGGCATGATTCCCCTTTTGAACTCCATTTTTGTTTCAGTTCCGATGCAATTCCTTTTTTACTCTGCTCATTTGATGGCTCTGTTGGTGGATCCTGTTTAAAATAATATACAGTTATTCAAGAAATATCCATATATTAAGGTCAAAAGTAAATACAACAATAACAATCATTGCGTGCATTTTCATATACATACATACATACATCATATGTCTGTCTGCGTGTGTGTATATATGTTTATGTAAAATACATCAAATATACCGATGACACTGTTGCTTTCAACTCAAGACGATCGAAAGCAGGTTGAAGATGAAACAAAACACAGTCTATTATATCACCATCTGGGCTCTGTTTTCAACAACGAAAAGTTTCAATTAATTTAAACAGTCAAAATAAAAACTCAAGTAAAACATATTTTTAACCGAGACTCACATGAATCGATTTGACAAAAGGTTTGTTGATCTTGTTAAGATGATCCTCAATCAACTTCTTCGATTCACTGCCTTGTGAGATTGAAAAAACTGGTGAAAACAAGAAAAACATTACATATATCAAAATGACTGGAAAATGACCAGAAGCAAACTCCATTATCGTAATTGTTTGAGCACGAATTCTCTAATTTTGTGATTAAAATCGAAACAAAAACAAGTATCAAGATCACAAGATATCAATATGGTTTGTATATTTTTATGGTTTAATCCAAGTGTGAAATTTTGGAGAATATTGAGAATTAAATGGTGGGTTGACCAATAAATGCAATAGTAATTAATAATCTTTTACCTTTTATAAAAAGTCAACTATTTTATTATCATCAAGTCAACTATAAAAAGTCAAAATTTGAAAATAAAATTATTTTAGTAAATGCATCTTCATTTTATTTTCAAATAAAAACTTGTAAAAAATACAATATTGTTTTAGTATATAATTTAATTTTTTTAAATGGAATAATTTAAAATAGTTGTTATTCAACCATCTGAAATCTTTTACAAAAACTAATAACAGAAACTTATTAATCAGATTTAAAGTTATGGATATAACCATCAGTATTGATCCTTTTTTCTTAGAAGGAGGAGATAAAGGTCAATTCTATAAAGCAAGAAAGCAAGGGGTTTGATGCCCATGGATTGTCTTATTATAGCTTTTTTGATTCGTCGGGTATGCCGAGAGAGGACAGTCTGTAGAAGCAACAGGTTGAGAGACCAAGAGAATGCTTATAAAAATCGAAAGATTTTGACGGGTTTTCAAAACGTTGTCTATTCATTTGGAGGAGTAATACAGTTACAAAAAACCCTTCAAACTTTCATTCTTAATGTTTATAAATAAGGTAAAATACGAACATTAGAAAAACAGTAAAAAAAATTACCAGGAGATCAAAAGTACAAGGGTGGTGCTTGATCGGTTAGAGTTTGGCTCTAAAGGTTAAAAGTACCAGGAGGTCTCAGCTTTAAATCCAAGAAGGACTAAAAATCCCCTTGTGGCCATGGAGGTTCAAATACGGTGACTCCGGACTATCTGCAAAGCAGGTGGTCGTCTTGGGATTAGTTGGCTCGCATAGTTGGTTGTATATCCAAGTTAATCAAAAAAAATTATACATCATTGATTTACAATTAACGTTTTAATATTTATATCATTGGAAAATTAAGATTTTGATAAATAAATAAAAAGCTCAAATAATTTAAAAGTATCTATTTTCCAGTTCTATCATTAATTATGAGATGGTAAATTCATTACTCCCTTAATTATTAAAGATAGTGGGTGGTGTCTGATTGCTTTGAGCATTGTCTCCAAAAGTCAAAAGTGTCTAGAGGTCACAAGTTCAAATCAAAAGAGAAATAAAAATCTCATTGTGGCCACGGAGATTCAAATGTGGTGACTCCGAGTACCCGCAAAGTAGGTGGTCATCCTAAGATTAGTTGGCTCACATAATAAATTGGATATTCGGGTTAATAAAAAAAAAATACTTTTACTAAACCTTTATTTTTTAATAAAGGAGTATACTTTCGGACTAAATTACATGAATATTTGTAATTTTATATATATATATATATATATATATATATATATATATATATATATATATATATATATATATATATATATATATATATATAAGGTTGGGTTCACGTGAGACCAAAGGTTTTTCGTGAGACCCATAAGACCAATTTATGTTCATTGATCAACTTTATAAGTTAAAGATCTAATGGTCTAAATTGCACGGTGGCAATTTTGTAACTATTGAGAAGTCTCATGGCGTTTGTGAATGTTCAGATCTGACGATTGTAGATCTAATCCAAGGGTTGAGAATTGGTCTTACAGGTCTCACGAAAAAGTCTATATATATATATATATATATATAATGAAATGTCATAAATAAGATTTTCATGTAAATAATTAAGTTTATTGCTATTTTGTATTTAAAGGTTGATGAGTATTGATTATTTTTCTAATTAAATCGATTTTGCACATCGAAGAAATATTGCTTGCATTAATTTTGTTAAATTAAGAGCATTTATAGTAATGAAACACTTCTGTTGTTATTGGTAAGTATAAAGGGACATTTACCTTATAAGATGAATGTGGTAAGGATAAAAAATCTTACTCGGTAATGGCGAGACAATGATCAAGAGTCTTACCCGGTAATTGAGAACGACGACTCTTACAACGGTAAGTGCTTACGGGGTAAATTGTTATATACAATATTGTTTTGGTGGACTAAAATCTTACACGGTAAATAAGTGGTAGTGTTAAATTTTACCGATAATTACTTATCGGGTAATATTTGGTAAACGACCTCTGAGTTAATTTATTTTTTAAAGTTATTGAAATGGTTGTCTCTAATTATGATGTACTAATATATATATATATATATATATATATATATATATTTCATAAAATGTTTATATTAATTAAATATCATTGTTGAAATTTTATTAACCAAATATTTGATTATTAGTTAGTAGATTTTTTTGGAAAACTATTAATATCTATACTATATTATAAAATATTTGATAAAAACTCTTAAAAACTATTTTTTTATTTATGAAGTACTGTTTATTGGTGCATATTACTTACAACTCAAGATTACAAGTAAATTCCGCTTAATTACAACTTATTAAAGCTTCATGTTTGAATTCGTGTAACTAACTACAGATAAACATAATCAAATAGAGAATAAGCATCACATTTTACATATAAAAAATCTAAAACATAATTAAGATAGTCATTGACTTATAACAAAATACTTAATTATTATTTTAAAAAATATATATTCTTAAATCAAAAAAATTAAAAAATTAATTAAATAGTTAGTTTCGTACTGATATCAATATCTTTTTTTCAATTTTTTATGATATATCCATATTGACATTTTATTCAAAAATAAAAATGTTAGTGATTTCTCAAAATCACATAAAACTGTATTATAACATCAACTTAGACAAAAAATAAAATAAATCGAAACATCAAAATCAAGATCTATATCTCAATGCATTGTGCGAGTACACTTCTAGTAATTATTAATTAGTATATTTTTAAAAATAGTATTAATAAAATGATTTAGTTATTAATTAGTATTTTCTGAAAAATTATGAATAAAACACTTTACTAAATATTTAATTATTAATCAAACAATTTTTAAGCTAACAACTATTGTTTGGTTTATTTTATGTATTCTGTAGTACACAAGCTTCAAAAAGACTTGAGATGTGGTGTGGTGACGAGGTCAAGTCTTACGCTTTACACGCTACGGCAAGAACACATAAGATGACAAATTTGTATGTCATATATAGAATTATATATATATATATATATATATATATTATCTAATCAGATAATCATATTAATAAATATACATTCATATTAGAAGAAGAAAATTATTATTATAAAAACAGGTTTTTGATTAAATATTTAAATAGAACTTATAAAGGTAATTTTACAACTTTATTTTGATGGTGAGTTCGTAACATTTATAAATTTGTGAAACTGTGAGTGATGTTATTAGTTAAATCTGTAAAATGTAAAATCTAAACTTAAAAGTGTAAAAACACAAAAAATAAAATATGATATCGTCAATAGGGTCTGAACAAATTTATTGTATTACATTTTTCCGTGATCTCAACATCATCAGTCTCGTTGCTTTACGAGATCTAGTCATACCACCTTATACACAAATATCCCCTTCTAGAAGACGTAAAATACGATATCGTCAATAGGGTCTGAACAAAGACAAGTTATATGTAACAAAAAGAACTTAAGAATTAAACCTAATTATCATTTCCAATTCTTCCAATTGACAAGATAACATTTTTCAAGTTGCACTGTGGACCTTTTAATTACTTGACGGACAAAATGCGTGAAATAGCAACCTACTTTTAATCACAAATTATGGAACATCTTTAATTTCCTCTGGGGTTTGTTCTTTATTTTCTAATCACAGTCGTTGGACCATTTCATCTTATAATCATAGAATAAAAGTAAATTAATCAACTGAATACAGTTAGTATAACAGATCAATTTCAAAGTAAAATGCATTTTAATGATGAATTGGATTATTAAACACTATCAACCTAATGAATGTGATATATGTAAGAAGTATGGATAAGTTGTATCAAATGACTGATGACGAAAAAAAAATTATGAGTAGAGAAATAACATATTTAAAGTTAAAAGAATTTTTTAATGTACCAAAGTATCAACCTGACCAACCCGACTAACCGATCAACTCGTACGGTTTGGGTTGGTTGGGTTGGGTTAAGATTTTTCAAACCGCAAACATTGGATTAAATTGTTCAAATGTCTTCAACCCAATCAATCTAACCCATGAACACCCCTAAATTCGAGTAATGGTTAAGCCAATAACCCAACATGGTTTTGAATAATCCCACAAATTAAATTTAGTGACAACCCATGATTTAGTGGAAGCTCTTTTCCCTTTTTGACAAGTTTGATGTTTCCCTCAATACCAAATCTACACCAAGAACCAACATAAAAAGTATTGTAATCGATGTTAAAGTCCAGATCGATCTTAATTTTCAGAAAACAAAATCTCCATGTATAAAAGTCGAGGTGAATTTGGAACCATTATGAAGCAGTCTCAACAGCTACTAAAGACCATACGGTCGTTTAAAATTCAATATATTAGGAAATGATAGAAATATACTGGTTCACAACTTGGCAAAATGATTTCAGTTTTTTCCTCCCGAACTATTGTTGTGGCTCCTTCTGATTGGCTTGTTGAGAATCTAAACGCTATTTATACTTCAATTGATCATTAATAAAAATACGGTTTCGGAAGAAAAAAAAATCGAACTCAAACCATTGTTGGACTAAGAAAACACATAGATTGGTTATCAACTTGATTATTGTTTAAGGTTATGATTCAGTGGAATATGATAGTGTTTTTGAATTGATTGACTGATTTTTAACTCAGTGAGTGATGGTATAATTAATGAAGGGGAAGGTTAATTGCACCCGTATCATTTATTAATTGTAGGGGTGAACATAGGCGGGTACCCGCCTTTTTTGACAGGAACCGGAACCGGAACCGGCGGTTCTTGAGATATTGGAACCGGAACCGGAACCGGTTAGAGCGGTTCTTGAATTTTTGGAACCGGAACCGGAACCGCCGGGAACCGGYTCCRGKTYYGGGTACCCGCTTCCTAAAATATTAAAATTTTGTTATTTAGAAATAAAAAATAAAACATTACCAAAACACTAAATTAAATAAACAATAATACAAATTATACGGAATAATGGTTACAAATATTGTTTAACGATTATAAACCATAATAGACTAATAGAAAATGTTCAAAGTTTAACGATTACATACTATAATTGTAAATGTTCAAAACTTAACGATTACATACTATGAAGTGTAGTTTAGTAGAACTAGAAAGTTGATGAAGAATGAAGATGACTACGTCCTTTGAAGATATAACATAATATACATTTGGTATTAAAAAAAATTAATTATTTTTTTATTGAAAAACACTGGATACCCGCCGGTTCCGGTTCAGGGTACCCGCTGGTTCCGGGTACCCGGTCCTGGAACCGGTCCTGGCGGGTACCCGGCGGGTAACGGTTCCGAAAAATTGAGAACCGGAACCGTTCTCAATCGGTTCCCTATTTTCGGAACCGGAACCACTCATATCAGTTCAGGTTCCGGAACCGGCGGTTCCAAGGCGGTTCCGGTTCCGCAAACGGGTACCCGGTTCCGCTGCTCACCCCTAATTAATTGTACCTCTTTACACTCTGTGTAATTATTTTCTTTTTTATATTGATTTTTTTTATTAACCTGGATATCCAACCCGTTATGCGAGCCGATTAATCTTAGAACGACAACCTGCTTTGCAGATAGCCCAGAGTCAACGCATTTGAACCTTCGTGGCCACAAAGGGATTTTTATTTCTCTTTGGATTTGAACCTGAGACCTCCTGATACTTTTGACCTTTGGAGCCAAGCTCAAACCAATCAGACAACCCCCTTGTGGTTTATATTGATTTTCTTTTAGTTATGTTATTTAATCATAAATAGATTATTATTAAAAACATCATTGTTTATTCTGTAAATAAATTAATAATTAAAAAAATATTGTTTTTATAATAATTTCTATAAAAAAAATTATATGATTTCCTTTCTTTTTAACTTTTTTTAAAAATGTTATTTTTTCTAATAATTATTTTAAGAAAAAATATATTTTTTTCTTGTTTTTATGATAATGATTCTTAAAAACGTATTTTTTTTTTAAATTACCAAACTACATATTAAATTTAATATAATAATGTCATAGATAATTGCGTATTATAAAAAGATTTATTGAGCAAGCATCTGGACAGACTAAAAACAGGGAAAACTGTGACCTGGAAATTGTTTTCTCACCTATTTGATCTATGAGGCAAATAAACCACGATATGCAGCATTTTTTGGGTTAAAATGATGCAAATAACTAATTTTTAAAAAATTCAATGATTTATTAATTAAAAAATATATGCAAGGATGAAATTTTTTTGTAAGTAAATATGACTTTATGAGTTGCACGATATTGATTATTTTATTTATAATTTATTATTTGTGTCATTTTAAAAATATTAAAATAACCCAAGAAATTTGAAATACTATCTTTTGTAAAAATGATTACGTTTTTGAAGTAATTTTATAAATATCTCATTCATTTTTCAAATTATTATGTTTTTAGCGTCGTTTCGGGTCTAATATTGCAATTAGTCAAAAAAACATTAATATGAGTTGAGATGGAAACTCAACTGATTTATATTAATTTACATAAAATATCATCTGAATAGCCAACATTGTGACCGCAAATGATGTATATCTAAATATTAAAGATATGTCATAGAATGTTTTTTACGGACGATGCTATGCAAAAATGATATGTAATTATTGATTGATTTTACGTTTAGGAATACTTGAAAAACAATTTTATATAAAGTATTAGTATTTTTTGAATTCAATGTTATTTTTAATGATAAAACAATATATAAAAGAATTTTTTCGTATCTATCGAGGGGCATTTTTACATCTTGTTTAGGGGCTGTTTGGCGGTTGCTGAATGGTTTGGTGCAGAATGGTTAAGTGGTCAGAATGGTTAAAAGGGCCAGAATGGTTAATAGTTGAATGAAATAATGTTGTTTGGTAACAATTATCTGAATGACAACAAATTACCATTTTAACCGTGTGTATAAACAAAATTTCTACAAGATCAGTTTAGGCAGAACCCTTTCGATTTCTAATGAAGGTCCATTGAACTAGCAATGTTCCTCTGTTTCTTCTCATAACCCTTTTCGATTTCTAAGTCAAGTTGAAGGTAAACAACATTCTATCTTAGGTAGATATGGAAATTTTGGATTGGTGACCTCATCCCTGTTAATCATGTTCGATCTATCAAAATTGTGATAAAGAAGAAAGGGTTCCATCACCACAAATCAACAATCCCATTTTTGAACTGTAATAATGAAGAATGGAGACGGTAGAGGTGACCGACAAAGCTGTGGAAGGCGGTGGAGGCGACCATTGAAGCTGATGGAGACGGTAGAGGTGACCGTCAAAACTGATGGAGGCGACCGGAGATGGCGACCGTCGAAGCTGATGGAGACGGTGGAGGCGACCATCGAAGCTGATGGAGACGGTGGAGGCGACCGTCGAAACTGATGGAGGCTACCGGAGATGGCGACCGTCGAAGCTGATGGAGACGGTGGAGGCGACCATCGAAGCTGATGGAGACGATGGATGTAACCGTCGAAACTGATGGAGGCTACAGGAGATGGCGACGAGTTCTCGTGCAATGACTGGAAGAGAAGGGGTGTGGAAGGGTAAAGATGGAAGAAATGCAATCTGAATGGTTGAGTGAAGCCCCAGACACAAAATGGTTAAGAGGTTATTGTAACCATTAAGAGGCTTATTTGTTTTGCCAAACAATCCTTACCTCTTACCGATTAAGAGGTAGGCTCTTAATGTCACCATTAAGAGCCAAACAAACAGCCCCTTAGTGTCATAATTGTCAAGGAAAAGAACTGATCATACCCCCCATGCAATTTATATAAGAATAATTTATTTTTTGACAAAATAGTAGATATGAAATTTACCTGATACATACATATATATATATATATATATATATATATATAGAGAGAGGTTGGTTATTATGCAATCATTTACATTTGTACAACCACTATAACTTAATCTCAACCGTCTATTTAATTTGATGAATATGTGATTTCATAGAAGTTTTGATTGTTTTCTAATAAAAAGAATTGATCATAATTAATGAACCATATTCATCTTTCTTAAATATTCAAATCATAATAAATAAACTCTCATCATTTCTATAAATATCTCAATTAATTAGGTTGCATTGGTTGTACAAATGAACATGGTTGCATTTGAAATATACCCTATATATATATATATATATATATATATATATATATATATATATAATTTTCTTATTAACCTGGATATCCAACCCGTTATGCGAACCGACTAATCCCAGGACAACCACCTGCTTTGCAGATAGCACGGAGTCACCGCACTTGAATCTCCGTGGCCACAGGGGATTTTTATTCCTCCTTGAATTTGAACCTGAAACCTCCAGGTACTTTTGACATTTGAAGTCAAGCTCAAATCAATCAGGAACCACTCTTGTGGTTCGGGTACATATATTTTAATAAACCTTAAAAATAAAAACCATAATTTACTTTATATAAAATAATAATATATTTTAGTTTATTAAAATATAATATCATTGATGATTAGATTATAAATGCTTATGGAAAAGGAGTGGTTGAAATGAATTTAGTAAATATAATAATGAGGGTTGGTAATGGGCTTGAAAAGATATGCACTTCCTTTTGCATGTTTTGTAACATTAATAGTTGATAGAAATGGCAACGGGGTGGGGATGAGGCGGATTTTGTAATTTGCGGTTCGGGTCCTGATCCTCGGTGAGTATAGGGGTTAACATCCCGTCTCTCGTTAAACCCTGGTCAAACTCTATGAAAAATATCCGTTAGTTTTGGTTTACTGGGGATCCTCGGCCCCAACCCTAGTTTGAGTAACAGCTCCCGGCTCCGGTTTGAGTCTATTGGGGATCCTCGGCCCCGTTTTAGCGGAGAATCCCTGTTCTCATTCTGATCGGGTGAGCCGGGTTGTCCAGTGAATCGGGATAAATCATCATCCTTAATAGTTGACATGTTTTGGACTCTTTTTATATTTATGTATTAATATAAAAAAAAGTATGAAATGGGGATAAAAGACGAAATCTTATTTTCATGATTTAAGAAGTTGAGGAAAATGATGCTCGTTTATGGGCTCCAACTCCCGATCGATTAACTCGTTTTATAAGCTCGATATTTTATTGTATGATTTATCAACATGTGAGCATGCTTGGCTCGAAAAAATGTTTGCTCGAATGGCTTGGCTCGACTCGAAAAGTTTAATCTAGTTCTCAAACGAGCTGAGTCAAACTTAAACGAGTTTTACTTTGTGTTTGAGATCCACGAGATGAACAAACTCGAATAGCTCGTTAAACACTCGGCTCGGTGTACACCCCTTAATTAGGAGTAATTTAGGACTAAAATACTATGTAGATTTTGAGTTGTAGGTTTCCTTTACATTCTTGTAAGGCTTTTTTAGAACATGTGAGGCGTTTGTAGTCCAACGGTTAGGATAATTGCCTTCCAACGGCAAACGCATTTCTTTTTTCCAAATTTTTAATTATTTTCTAAACAAAATCAAATATTAAATAAATTGCATTTGATTTTAATTACATCAAATGTGAAAATGAAAGATGTCATTTTTATAGATATAGTCTTTAAAAATATGTCATTTATAATGAAAGGTTGAATAATTTTGTAATTTAAATAATTTTTTAAAGGGTTTTAATTTCATTTCTTTCCCTTAAAAAATAGTTTCGAGACCAAAAGGGCTTTTGGTCTAGCGGTATGTGAGTCTTTGGGCTTTTAGGATGTCAAAGGTGCAAATCTCATCATATGTGAGGAGGGTGTGTAAATTTATTTGTTTTATTTGTCGTATATAAATATTATATACTTCAAAAAGAAAAGAAAAAAAGTTTCGAGAACACAACATAAGGAGACGTTTACATACGTTTACCGGGTGGAGGTTACCAGCAAGAGTGACCACACTCACTTACCTTATCGGTAAAAGAATTTGCCATCGTTTACCCTATCAACACTTACCAAGTACAAGTCTTCTCACTCACTTACCAGGTAAGATTCACAATTGTCTCTTACTGAGTAAGATATTTTTCTGGAAGGGTGTTCCAAGACTAATCCCGACAAATTACGATTGCAAAACATAAGCCATGATAAACTCATACCACAATTTTGTGGACATTTGGAATTATTATCGGGTATGATTCTCGGTACTTGTTGTATTCATTTGATAAACGGTATAGTAATCGTTTATCTGGTAGACGTTTGGTAAAAAGGTCACACACCGAAGGAAGTATTATATATGAGAACACTTCATTTGAATGCAAGTATCATCGATCACAAAAATGGCAGAAGAACGTGTGCAGCTCCTATTTGTACATTCCCTCACGTTAATGGTACTACTGAGTTGCTATCGTCATGTGAACGCCACGGAATCCCCACCATACACCGTCGTACTCTCGGCGCCAGATCTCGAAATCAGACTGTACCGTGACTCATCCTGGATATCGGCCGCCGTCGCCGGCGGCACCTCCTTCAACAAATCAACTCACGACGGCTTTCACAGGTCCGATTTCCCTCTCTCATTCTCCCGCCATAAATTTCAAAACAAAATCACACAAATCCAAATCGTTTTTCTTTAAATCTCGTCTCAGATTGTATCAATACGTTCATGGCGGAAACGAATACAACACCAGATTCAAAATCACAACTCCGACGGTCACCACCGTCACCGCCGCCGCATCGAACGGTTCTTCAGATTATCTGGTGAGCATGTATGTAGCATCAATTTCAAGTCCTCCAATGGCTTCACCTCAACTGAATTTGCACATTTCCAATTGGAAAAACCATTGCGTAGCTGTTAGAAGATTTTCAGGTTTTGCTGGAGATGATAATATCTATAAAGAGAGATCGTTACTTTCGTTTAGCTTGGCTAAATCTTTGATTCTCAACGGGAAAAACGTTTCGATCTCGGATGATAAAAGCTCGTATTCCATTGCGCAATACAACGCATCGTCGCATCTCAGTGGACGTGTAAACGAAGCGTGGATCAACGTTATTCCCTGCCCAGTTCTACATTGAGTGTAGGAAGATATGATGCATGTGTTGTGTAATTTAAATAAGGCTGTTTCTTTGGCGTAAAATTAATTTTGTTTGTGTAATTTAAACAGGGCAAATTGCATGAAAAAATAATTTAATTTGATTTTTATTTTGGTTAACGTATTTTTAGAACTTTTATTTTGGTACGTAAAATGTAAAGTTTTAAACATTTAAGTACTCGGATAACTGGTTGAAGCATAAACCAGTTACCATGCTGATGTGGCGAGTGATTTGACTTACCTTTTGAATTTAAAATTCAATAAATTTATATATTAAGTTGGATACCACATTATTCGTCACATCAGATGGTAACCGGTTAATGTTTTAGCCGGTTTTTCGGATACTTAAATGTTTAAAACTTTACATCTTAAGTATCGAAATGAAAGTCTTAAAAGTACGTTACTCAAAAATAGGAATCAAGTTAAAGTACGTTACTTTTTCATACAATTTGCGATTTAAATAAAGTTGTTTAAAAGATCTAAATGGATAGTGTGTTATATCAAATTTGATGTGTTATAGTTCGTTACATTGTAACACACCAAATTTGGTGTTGGTAGATTTCATCCCTGTGGTTTTGAAATTTTAGTTTTCATCCCTATGATTTGTAATTTATTTTTATTTTTATTTTTGTCTTGAGGCTAACTTCTATTTACAAATATAAAGGATTAAAAAAGAAATGAATTGTAAACCATAAAGATGAAAAATAATAAAATTTAAATTTTAATGATGAAAATAATAATGAATTATAAATTGTAATTTCAAAATCATATAGAAATTTTCAATAAACCAACCAAAAAAAAAATGAAATTTACTCGATTTAAATTTTAGAATTTCTGATCCAAACCAACTTTTATTAAATATACTAAAAAACTACTCGCACGATACAGCGAGATACATGTTGGTTTTAATTTTCTATTTTATTATTTGTCTTTATCGATGTTATAATACGATTTTATGTGTTTTTAAGAAAACAATAATGGTTTTATTTTTGAATAAAATATAAATTTAAAAATATCATAAAATTTTGAAAAAAATATATATCAATGTTAATATCTGATCAACTATTTAAAAGTTCTCATTGTTATGTAATTTTTTTAATTTATTTTTATTATAATTTAATTTAAGTTTAATAACG